ATGGTCAGGGAGTGACACATGTATCTGTTCATGTCTCCACATGTGCTCTTATACTCTAGGCATGACTCACAGTGGGAGCCTGCATGGGGTGGTATGGAGGTGGGATACTGGGCCCTATGGGGACCCGAGGAGGTCAAATTGTCTGGGCTCTGGAGATCACTTGTACCTGGGAGCTCTTCCTGAGCCTCTGTTCCTGTCCCTCCCCAGCCCTAAAGCCTGCACCCATGTAGTTCAGCACCCAAAGCTCAGTTCCCAAGAAGCCTCAGTAAAGACAGGAGAGATAGTGTTTTTCCTTCTCTACCTTTATGGTTCTCTTTCTGGCCTCTTCCCACCAACTGGTCATGAGGACCAACAGCATCCATGCTCCTGGTCTCTTAGGCACAGCCCAGGTCACTGATCCACCCTCAGCCCATAGCACAGACCAAAGTGTGTAGGAGAGAGGAGGCATGTCCAAGCTGGCATGGACAAGGATGGGCTTGTGCATCTATTTCAGTGCTGCTTAGCCCTGGCTGTCCATAAGAATCCTTAGGGAACTAGTGCTGCCTGGATCCACTCAGTATGTCTGGGGCAAGGGGTCAGGCTTTTGTGCTTTTCAAAGTGCCTTAAGTGTCTCTTCTGGGCAGCCAGTCTAGAGGACCTCTGATTGATGTAACAGTAAATAGCTAAGCAAATCTGTGTTGGTTTAGGAATACTTACATATGCAGTGTGTACTTATAAGTATACTTATAAAAATATAAAGATGTGCAGTGGAACAAAATGAAATCCTAGGAAAGTGATTGTTTCCAGGTATAGGCAGCAGGGTAATGAAATGGGGAGGGATCAGATGCTTCCACTGTAGTTGTAATGTTTCATTTCTTGAGCAGAGTGGTGGGAACCTGGTATCATTTCATACTTTTTGCTTTGGTTGAAATAGTTCATCATAAGAGCATGAATTTCATAGTCAAACCTGGGTTTTTAAGTTCATTTCTGCTACTTACTAGCTGTGTGACCTGGAGCAAGTACTTATCTGTTCAAAAGAAGTTGTTTAGTCATCTGTAAAATGGGGCTCCCAGGGCTGTGTGAGGATTACCTGTGAAGTTCTAACACTCCTTATAGGTTTCTTCACTGGGAATAGGAGGTGGGGTAACTCCAGGGGAAGGCAGTTGAGCCTTTCCAGATCCCTTTGTGGCCTCTCAGCTAAGGGGTAGAGCAGGGCGTGGGGGAGAGTAGGGCACTGCTCTCAGTGGACAATGTGGGAGGGAGGAGCCACACCCCACACTGAGGAAGTGCCTAGGGATAGAAGGGTCCCTCTCTAGAGGGAGGGCAGCTGGGGAAAGAGTCCTTCCTCCCACAGCCCCTCTCTCACAGGAACACAGGTCTGGGGGCTGCTCGTGGGCATTTAGATTCTGGTGCATATCCAGATAGCCTTTTCCCTTGGAAGATGGGAGGCTGTGGAGGCATCCCCAGGCAGGCAGACTGTCTGTCTGCACAGATGCACATACTCTCTCACACATGCAATACACACCCATATATGTGTGTGCCAGGCCTGGCTATGGAATGGGGAAAGGAACTCAGACACCATTCTCATTGGACAAGTTTAAAACACAACATGGCTCATTTTTATTTTATCTCAGAAAAAAACATTCCCTTCAGAAGGAAAGGCAGTTAGATAGGGCCTCTAACTGGGCAGCTCTGAGCTACCCAGGCACACCCCATGGTGGGCCAGTCCCCACCTCCTCCCTTAAGCCCACAGTCTGACACCATTCCATTACAACTCCCTGTCCTTGAGCCCAGCTCTGTGGCCTTAAGAAATGGCCCTGGGACTGATGGGGTAAGAAGTGCATGGCAGCTCATGGCAGCCAGTGAGAGCTGCCTGGGACTCCCTGGGCTGACCTCTGAGGCCAGGTTAGCAGCAAGACCAACAACAGACCCAGCAACCAGGGAAGGAAGATGATTTAAAAAAAAAAAAAAAAAAAAAAAGGGGGATTTCTTCAGTTTTAACATTTTCTCCTGGAAAAAACAAAAACAAAAACACGCCACCTCTGGGCACAGCAGCTCCTGAACCCTTGGAAAGTCTCGGGAGGGTGGTGTGTATGTGATTAGGGGGGTCTGTTGGAGTCACCCCCAGCCTTAGGGCTAGCCAGCCTGCTCTGCCACAGCTGCTCTGTGAAGTTAGGGTGGTATTTCTAGATGCTTCGAGTGGGGTACTGGGCCCTGCCCAGCCAAGATGTTCTGATGCCGTGGCCCTGACCTGATGCAGGGCCTCCCAACATGAAATGTCTGCTTCCTCGGACTCCAAACCCTTCCTGCTGGGCCTCATGCTGCTCCAGCCAGGGTACTCTCCTCTCAGTCCAAAGTGGGAACTGGCCACAAGAAGGGTCTCCAGGCACATTCATTCTTCTCCCAACGTGACTGGTTCCATCCACCAAAGAGAAAGATTTCCTTCCTGGAGGAAAGGGCAAACTCAGTGGATCATCAGGACACTCCTGCTCCATCCTGGGCCAGGGGTCCCTCAAGGCCAGGGGACTCTGGGCATGCTCCCTTGAGCTCATGGCTGAGGAGCTCCACATCTGGGAGGGCCATGTCCCCATGGGACTCGTGGGCACTCCCTCCACTCACCAACCCCAGGGCATAGCCATTGGGCCGCCGCTCAGGATGGGGGGCACTGCCATTGGCCCACACCCCAGGAGGATGACCATTGAGGCGAAGGCTGATCTGCTCTCCATCACTGCCATGAGCTGCCAAGGCCCGGGCACTGGTGCCGCCTGCCTTGAAGGGCTCCCGTCGCCTCAGGATATGGCTGCGAATGATCTTGCGGAAGGTCTGGCGGAACTCACGGATGCGGTAGGCATAGATGAAGGGATTCACAACGGAATTGGTGTGGGAGAGGATGATGGTCAGGTACATGAGCCAGAGCGGGGCATGGTTACACTCTGGGCAGAAGAAGGTAAAGCAGTTGATGATGTGCAGGGGAAGCCAGCAGAGGGCAAAGAGCCCCACAATGATGGCCAGCGACTTGGCAGCATGGACCTCCTTCTGCAGCGTGGACCGAGTCCGCTCCCCCGGCAGAGGCTGGCTCTCCATCTGCTTCAGCTGTCGCCGAGCAGCCAGGAAGATCCGCAAGTAGACACCCAGCATGAGCAGCAGGGGCACCAGGACACAAGCAAAGAAGTTGTAGTACACCATGTAGTTCATGGGAACCACATCCTCGAAGAGACAGGCTACCTGGCCCTCCCCACAGCCCTGTGAGTGGTTTTTGCCCTCCTTCGGCTGGCTGCAGTTGTTCCAGCCCAACATGGGAGTCAAGCCAATGGCAAATGACAGCACCCAGCAGACTGCAATGATGCCTTTGGCCCTTGTGCCAGTCACCAAGCCATTGTACCTGGGGAAAGGAGACCAGCATCAGATATCTGAGAAACCAAGACAAGGAGAGGCTAAGAGTCAGAAACCCAGAGAGGCACCTGGGCCTGATCTGCTGACTGTAAGGTTTTGGACCACTCACTTCCTGCCTCCTAGCCTCACTATCCTCCTCTGTTCAGTGGAGGCCCAAGCCCTTGCCTTTTCCCACAGCAGGAAACAGGAGAGCCGGCCCCCTGGAAAGGAAACCACTGCATAGACATTCAGATGGTTACCAAATAGTATTAAAAGTAGTCCTCAGACTCCGTTCTCTTTGAGGGACTTAATAAGTGAGAGAACTTATCACCTCCACGTTAGTCTTAGTTGATGCTAGAGTAAGCTTTCCTTAAAAGTGGGAATAAGCCAGGAGGGTACACTCATTGGCCGGGGGCAGAACCAGCCACATCAGACTTGTAGGCGATTCATGTCTCTTGTACTCCATGCTCTTCCTTCCCCACTTGACATAGGGTCTCCAGAAAGCCCTCAAGGAGAGGTGGCACAGAGGGGAGGAGGGAGTCGTGGAGGTCCTGGGTCAAATAACCTCTCTGCCTTCCAGATTCACCCACAGCCCTCTGGAGAGACATGAGATTGATATGTCTTAACATTTAAGAGGAAAGAATTGCATGAGGTACTGAGGTCCAAGGAGGAAAAGTAATCTGACTGAAATCACTCAGGACTAAACAGCCAGATGCAGTCCCAGACTCCAAGTGTGACCTGATCTGCCAGCCAGAAAGCTGGCCCCAAGTCCATAGAAAAGGTGGCATAGATGTTTGTTTTTAGAGTGGGAGAGAGAGAATCTTGTCTTTTTTTTTCTTTTTTTAGACACACACACACACACACACACACACACACGCTGGGGAGAGGGGCAGAAGGGGAGAGAGAATCTTAAGCAGGCTTCACACTCAGTGCGGGGTCATGCCCTGAGCCAAAATCAAGAGTCAGACACTCAACCAACTGAGCCAACCAGATGCTCCGGTGGCATAGATTTTACTTAAAGAATGGGCAATCAAAAAATTATCTCTGACTGAAGAAGGTGACCTCAGTGATCTCTGAGAGATCACCATTTGTTTAATGGTTTTGATTCTGGTAACACCAGACTGCCCTCCCCTCTACCTGGTAAACCCTATCCATCCTTTATGTTCAGACTAGATACCTTCCCAAAGAAGTTTTCTACCCAAGTGCACCAAATCCCTACTCCATCTGGGCCCCTGAGGTAGGGGGCCCCTTTGGGACAGGGCTTTCCTGCATCCATCACTGTACTGCCAGCACTAAGAAAGCAACACACAGCAGGTGCCAAGGAAAAATGTGCTTTCCTTAATTTCCAGAATTGGAAACATCCACAGAAACTAGTCCATGGGTGGCACACATGGGCCTACAGGTAACAAATGTGTGAGGCAGGCTGGCAGGGCATTTATTGTCTGTATAAGAGACAGTTGACGCTGCTCAGCCCCTGGCCGCTTATGCACAATGTGCTTCCAGTGCTGCCAGACCTCAGACGGGGCTGAGGAGCTGATTTTCTAGGTGAAATCGCCTGTGGTTTAAATTTTGTCAACAAATTCAAATAAAGGGGGATAAAGTCTTGTGGCCTCTGACCTCTTATCTAATCCAACTGCCTCATTTTATAGATGGAAAAACTGAAGCCTAAGGAGAGGAATGGACTTACCATGGACATTTCAGGAGCCCAGAGGCAACTCGGGCCAAGGTAAGTCTGTCAGTTCTGAATCTATGTCAGTTTTGAATCCAAAGAATAACTGGACAGGGCCACTCCCAGGAACCCCTCAGCCCCATTTAGCAGGGGCTTGGGTGCTTGCAACAGGAGGAGGGTCATGGACTTGCTCACTTCCACCAAGCCACAGAGAGCCTACATGGCCCTGTTTCCTATTCTGGAGCCTCAAACACAAAGTCTTAGGTTTTTTCTTTTTCTTTCTTTTTCCATTTAATACTTACACAGCACTTGCTGTGTGCCGGGCACTGTTTTTGTACTCTGCTAATTATAATTTATATAATCTTATTGAATAGGAAGCTATTTTAATGTTGGTATTTTTCCTGAGAAAAGGGTATCCCTCCCTGAGTTCCAGTGCTAGTGCATTCCTGTTTTGCCATGTTCTGTCACTCTGCATCTCTGAGCCTCAGTTTCCTCATTTGCAAAATGGAACTAAGAATCCAGGGCCTGTGAGCACAGTCCCATGAGGGCAGAATGTATAATCCGTGGGTGGGAATTACAGGGGGGTGGACTGTGAACTGGGGTAAGTAAGAACTTCTCAGCTAAGCTGTTCACACAAGAAATGGGCTGCCTCAGGCAAAGTGAGCTTCCTATCATTTGAGGCAACCAGGCAGGAGCAGATGGTGTAGAGATGGTGTAGAGGACCCTGGAAGCCACCTGCTTTGGGGGTTTTCAAATTGTCCTCTAGCAGCTGACCTTCTTGCCCGCATTCCCAGGCAATCACAGAAGGAGGCTGCTGAGGAAGGGAGGCAGCTTAATATTCACTGAATGAATGAGTTGGTGGGGACACCCAGGCCCAGACCAAAGGCTTCCGGGGACAGTTTGAAAATCCCTGGTCTGTCCAGTTGTCTGCTTTTATGGACAAGGAAACCCATGAGCAGAAGTCTGGCACTGCATTTTAAAAAGAAAGCCCCTTGTGAGGACAGAAACAAACATACATTAATAGCACTTGACTATGCCTGCAAAGAATATCTCTGGGCAGATTCTCAACACTGCCTTCCAGGAAGATAACTGAAGGTAGGGCGGCGGACAAAAGAGACAGTTTTTCACCATATACTCTGTTGTTCTTTTTTAATGTTTTAGTATGTGCAGGTAATAACTTATTAAACACACACACACACACACACACACACACACAGAGAAACATCAAACAGATTAGTTTTATTATTCAGAAGAAAAGCCTTTAGGCTGAGCGCTCTGGACCCAGGCCCCTGGGGAACTGGAACAGCATTAGGGCCCAAATAGAACAACAGCCAAGCCATAGCCTGGCCCAGGGGCATCCCCTTGGGCTATGTCTCTGACTTATGGCAATCACATCTTGACCTCCTAGGGCCCAGACACACTGTCCAGTGGAAGGGGTGCCAGAGGTATCCAGCACAACAACACTCTGCCATTTGGGGGAGCCCAGAGGTGTCACAGGAAGCAGGTGCCAGAGTGCTGCCTGCCACATTTGGAGGTGCCTTTGTATCCCTGCATCTTTCAGCTCACAGGTGCCCCTTCCTGGGGACTTCCCATCACCCATGTTGGAGACTCATTCTATGATCCAAGAATACCACCCACAATTCTAAGTGGGGCTTCATGTGCATTTTCCTTACACTGAGAGAAGGCGGAGCTTTCCTAAGTTGTCTAAAGGAGCCAGTGATCTAAGAACTGAACACCCATTGATGCATGGGTGAAACCCAAACTCCCTTCTGAGCATAGGCAGGCCTGAGCTAGCCTCACACCCTCCCTGCCCTCCTGTTCTTCTGTCTCTGTCACTTCTCCTGTTCCAAGGCCCACATGGTCCTTCCTTCTTTGTGGCCTTTGTCTAGGCTTGGCCTACTCATATCCATCCTGCAAGACCCATCCAGAGTTACCTCCTCCTGGGAGCCCTGATCCTACCTTCTTTACAAGCCAGGGGGTTTTTGTCCCCAGGCAGTGATTCACCACATACAATTCAGGTCTTTGCATCAACTGCTGCCCCACATGTAGTCCGTTTCCCAAGGAGAGCGAGCACTCACTAGGGGTTAATAATGTGAGAGGCAGGAGACAAGGGGCGCAGAAGTCCCCTAGGATATGAAAACCTTTGTCTCTCACTCTGGGCTTTCTGTCTTCCTCCAGGGACACCAAGAGCTCCCATCTCTGCCTTTGGCCAGGCTGCTTCTCACTGGATTCCTGACTAGGCCCTGCCCTAGCCCACCAAAGGTCCCTGTACTTGGGAAGGAGCACAGATTTTTCTGAAACTGAATCCTTTTAACAAAAGAAAGAGAGATGGGGAGAAAGGAAAGGAAGAAGGAAAGAAGGAGAGAGAAATAAATTAATGGTGAGTGATGCAGGCCTAGGGCTAGGCATCCAGGGCAGCAGTCAGAGAATGGACACCTCAGAGTAGCCAAATGGACCTCCAGAGTGGAGCAGGAAACAGCATGCAGAGGCAGCGAGATTCCCAGCTGGCAGGGAATGTGGGGGAGGCAGAAAAGGCAGCCTGAGTCAGGCAGTGGCTCCAGATCTGCCAGGAGCTCTGGGTTCTCATTTGCCTTCACGTCATTCCCTCTTGTACCCATCTTGCTCTCAGGAGCCCCTACCTGGACACCTTTGTGCACCTTGCTGTCCCCAGCCCAGGGCCCTTGAGGAATAGGTAAGTGGAAAGACCCAAGGGAGTCTGGAACTTTGTGAAGGGCCCTGATGTCCCCCAAGTCACGAGAGACTTTTCTTTCTCCTGCTGTAGCCTCCCCATGAGTAACACAGGGTCATCACGTCTTCCCTGGCCACAGTGCTAGGCTGTGAAGATCAAAGGAGAAACTGTGCTAACATCCTTGGGCAACTGTGAAGCTCTCTGCCTGAGGTAGGAGATAAGTACCATCATCCTCATCCCTAATGGCTCCCAGATCCAAGAGATCCAGGCTGACCCCTCCAAGGCTTTATCAAGCAATGCTCAAACAGCCAAGTCTCGGTGGAACTAGGTCCTGCTCTGAAGATCATAGGTATTGGTGATACAGATGGGGCAGGGCAGGTCCAGGATCCATTCTGAATCTCCAGCAGCTCAAGAATGGGCTGAATCCCCACTTGCTCCATCCCACCAACCTTCCCACCCAGGGGCCTCACCACGCCCATCTGTTCACTGGACCCTCACAACACCTTTGTGAGCTTAGAAGGACAGAAAGGCCTATCCCCTTTTATAGATGAGGAAATGGGCCCAGGGAGAGACAGCTGACTTTTTATGGTCACACAGCACGTCCCATCCTCCTACATCAGGAATCATTCTCTTGACTCTTAACAAAGAGAGAGATAAGAAAAAGAAGCCAAGACCCTTGCAACTGAGCCCTGATCTCTCCTTAGGATGCCGTTGCCCTTTGAATCAGGGAAGGAAGTGAAAGTGAGGTCTCTGCTTCCCCACTGAATGTTCCTACCAGGGCTGGCCCAGGCCCAGCCCATGCTCAGCTTGGCTCCTTAAGTAGACACCAATTCTCTGCCTTCTAGTCCACCTGGGACCCCGTGTTCTGAGCGTTCCTCAGGGAGCCTGGACTCTGAACTCTGCTCTGCACTATCAGACTAGTCCTATATTAAGACTGGCTAGAGTCTCCTCTTTGGCAAGAGTCCTAGGCTCTCCTGAGACTAGAGCATCCTATAGGGCCACGTGGGGCCCTTCACTTGAGCAGCATGATGAGGGTGCCTTCTTCCCCCTTAGAGCCCAGGTGACAGGAGTGGCCACCTATTCCTGGGAGTAGGTCTGGGAGACCAGGGCTGCCCTGTTCCCCAAAGACTGGAGTCACAGTGGGTGACAAGTCACATTTCTTCCTAGGCCTAGTCCCAACTGTGCTACCAACTCATTGTGTGGCCCTGAGGGCTGGCTCCCTTTTCTGAGCCTCATTTTTCCATCTAGAAGATGAGAGGAAATGACCTCTAAGGGCCCCCTTGGTTTGACACTCTAAATTTCCATTTGCTCATTGAGCCTGCTCCTCTTTCCAGCTGGGGTGCACTCTGCCAGCATGGGGCTGCTGAGGGTTACTCTGGAGGCAGGCACTTCACTTGTTTGGGAGAATTCACTACAGGGCCAGGTACCCTGGTCCTCTGAGACCTCCCTCAGGGTCTGCAGCCACCCAGGCTGTGGAACCCAGCTCCCAGATAGAGGGTCAAGGAGGTGGGGCAGGAGGTTCTCCTGCCCCTCACCACTCCCCCCACCTTGGGGGGAGGAGAGAGGGAGGGACCTACTTCCTAGTTTCATCTGTGGTAGGTGGAGGCCACGTTAAATAAACTCAGCCTCGGGAAAGTCTTCATTTACACAATACATAGCTGAAGTCACTTCACAAAAACCCCTTTCCACTAGCTGAGCACACAGGCTGTCTCTAAGACCATCAGTACTTGCTGACCTGAGGAGCACAGAATTTGCATATAGGTCTAAGTGACTCACTGTGGCATTCAGCCAAGTCACTTCCCCTCTCTGGGTCATTTTCCTAATGTCCACACTGTGTGGCTGGCCCAGAGGAGTTAGGGCAGGCAGGCAGGCGGGTTTCTGGTTCTGAGGGCCTGTGGTTTCCCGTGGTGCCCTGCCCCGCCCCAGCATCATGCTGTGTGAGAAAATGGCCCAGATGCACCACCCAGGCCTGGGCCACACACATCTGCCACAGTCAAAGAGCAGCAGCCTCAACCAAATAGGCTGGGGAAGACTGGGGAGGGCCAGGGTGCCTTGTGCCCACAGGGATCAGCTAGATTGGCATGATTTCTGGCCATGTGCCAAGCCCTGGGCAGCCCCAGACTGAGCCCCATGACCCTGTCCTCAGCTCAACACACAGACATCACAGACTAAATCCTAACCCCAGGTTCACCCTGGCCCTGGCTTGGCGCAGACCAGACCTTGGTACAGGCAGCCTTTTCATAGATGTGAACCTCAGCATGAGGCATGCCAGAGAAGAGAATATGGGCAGCCCACCGCCCACAGCCCCCAGCTCACCGGAGTGGGATGCGGATGGCGATGTAGCGGTCAATGGCGATGGCCAGGAGGCTGAAGATGGAGCTCTGTGTGAGGACCAGGACAAAGCAGGCGAAGAAGAGGCAATTATGGCAGGCAGCACAAAACCCTGTGCTGATGGTGATGGCGAAGGGGATAGCGAGGACTCCCACAGCAATGTCGGCTGCCGCCAGTGACACCACAAAGTAGTTGGTGACGTTCTGTAGGTTGCTGTTCAGCCACACAGCCCAGCACACCAGCACATTGCCGAGGATGGCCAGCACAGCAATTGCCAGCTCCACCATGATGTACACCCAGGAGCCCATGGTGGGCATGGCCGCAGACAGGCAGGGTCAGCAAGGACACGGGCCAGGCCAGCTCACGGTCCATCGCTGCAGTGCAGCTGGCCCTGCCCAGGCCCCTGAGCCCCTTCTTCACAGGAGCCAAGAGCGTCCCTGCAGGCAAGCGGGGGGGGGGGGGCTCCCCAAGGACTGTTTCAGAGCCAACTCTGAGTCTCCAGAAACCAGACCCTCTTCAGGGGCTCCGGCAGCATCTTGGCTCAGCTCGGCTTCACAGTCCCCGAGGCACCTGCCAAGGGAGAAGCCTTGTGAGGAGCTGGACCATGGGCAGAGAGGGAAAAGCTGAAGATTCCCAGAGGTAGCCCTCAGCCCCAGCTTACCAATGCCCTCCCTGCAGGCCAGGCATTAGCCTGAGAACAGCCCACTGTGCCCTGCCCCTCCCACCCTGGACACAGAGGGCTGGGGGTCAGCCTCAGTCCTTGTTTTTTCTAGGGGAGCCAGGAATCTTTTTAAAGTTAAGTCACTTGTGTTGCCCCCACCCCCACCCCATGCTCAGCTTCTCAAGCCTTTTGTGGCAGCCCTGCCAGTCTCCTGGGTCCCTGAGCTCACTGCCACCCCCATGACCCTTCCAGAAAGGCCCCCTCACCCCCTTGGACTCTCCCAGGTCCACCTACCTTCTCTCTCAGCCAGCTTCAGTCTGCTCCATCCCCCAAGAGCTCTTCCTGGGAACTACCAGCACCTGCCTAAGCTGCTAGGTTAAGGAGCAGGCCTAGAGTTCCAATCTGGAAGGACCTGGGTGGTCCATCTTGTCCTGTCTTCCACTGCTGGCAGCTAAGCCCCCCTGCCCTTGCTGGTGATGCTGCACAGTGTGGAGGAGCAGTCACCAAGGGAGCCCGCTCCTCAGCAGCCCCTGCCAGCTGACTGCACATCTGGGCAAGGGAACCGCCTCACCTCCCCCCCCTCCCTCCTCCCACGCCCGCTCCCCAACCTGCTCCTCTGCCTGGCTGATGCCAGGACAGACTGAATTCAGTTTGGTGCTGTGCAGAAGGCAGGGTGCTCAGCCAGGACTTCCTGGGGAACTGCAGGCAAGGATGTTTTTTTTTTCTAGGCCTCAGTTTCCTCATTGATACAGTGAGGAGATTGGACCCCAGATAGCCTCTGGGGGTCATTTCAGCTCTCACTCATGATTCTATGAGAAGGAAATAAACAGATCTTAAAGGGCTCCCCCAGAGTGAAAATGTCATAGAAATGTAAGGAATTGCTGACCCTCCTGAGAAGCACAAGCAGAAGTAGAGGTCTTGGTTTCCCCCAGCCCAAACCCCTAGTGTTCACCCTTGAGCTTGTGAAATGGTCTCCATATCCCCTACCAGCCTAGGGGCCCCTCCCCACAGCCTCTGCCCCCACCTTATCATGCTCACATGTGCTGCCCAGTGGTGTCCCCTCATGCCAAGTCAACCTACTCCTCCCGTTCTGGGCCTTCACAGGGCCCTAGGTGCACATGGGCGGCAACTGCTGCCTGCATGGAGACAAGAGGCCCAAAGCTGCCCTTCAGCTTCCCACACTTGGGCTCAGGAAACTGCATCCTCCCTCACTCCTCCAGGACACAAGGGATAGAGCAGGGCTGGTGATCTTGGGAGAAGGTCACTCGTCGTCCCTGGCCATGTTCAAGGGGCCAGGCTGCAACAGATGAACACCAAGTTTCCTTCTGACTCCTGTGTGCTTCAGGCAGCTGGAACTATATCCAAGGGGTATTCCCTATGCCCACTAGGAGGCTCCAATGGAGCACGCAACACCAGGAAGCAGGACAGAGAAGAGGAGGCAAAGTGCTTGAAAAATGGGGGGGTTCTTGCAGCCAGCCCAATGGCTTCTCTCAGGCCTGGCAGGGGCCCACCACCAAGAGACCATGAATGAATCTCAGGGCCCTGCTATACACAGGGTACTTGCCAGCCAGCTGCTCATAAAGCATGTCACTGGCAGAGGAGGATCAGACCAAGTCTCCTGGTGCTATCCCTGGCCACAGAGTGTCCCTTGGTGCTCCTGGCCTATAGCCTAAGACAGCATTCACCAGGGACCCCCCCTACCCCACCCCCAGCTGCAGAAGCCGTGTGTCTAGGGTCTTGTTTTTATTCTCCAGAAGGGAAGTGACAGGCCCTGAACTACTTCCCTCCTAGGGGCCTCCCAGGCCCAGCACTAGCAGCAGGCCACTGTCCAGGCCAAGGGAGCCTTAGGGAACCCTACCTCCTCCTACCAGTGAGCCGCCTGCTCTCCTAGCCGCCTAACCATCACCTGCCACCCTTCTTACCCAGACTTCAACCTCTCCAGGGGAATTTGCATTCAGAGGCACCACAGCCTCTGCCAATCAGACCAACCCAGGCTAGAAGCATGACTTGGCCCCAGACCACTGTCCAGATTCAGAGGGCACCTGGCCTGGGGGAAGATGAGGTGGGATCACCAACAATCCACCTAACCCAAATACGTATCACATTTCTGTGGAGCCAGGCTGTCCTGCCCCAATGCCCTGAGCCCTACTGATGGGGTCACACCACCAGCACCCGTCCTGGATGCCAGGCTGCCTCCATGAGCCAGGCTGCCCGGAGTGGAAGGACCTTCAAGGGGCCTAACCCAGCCCTCTGTTAGGTGAGGCTCTCTTGGCAGCCCTGGGTACCTGCCTACATATGCCCAGTCCTCAGGGTCTCCCTACCACCACCCTCTGTGCCATGGGCCCTCATGTTGAACAGCACCTGGGACCAACACTCTTCCTGACCAAACTGAAGCTACCTTTCTACTGCCCACCATGCCTGGGGCACCTTCCCAATCTCACTGGATGCAATGGATCTTAGTGGTCACCGATCCTCCTACCCACATCAGTCTTGCAAGGGGCTAAAGGCACACCTAATGCCCCTGAGTCCTAAAAGGCTGCCTCCTTGCACATCTAGTTGCCCATCTGCCCTTCCTACAGCATTTCTGCAGGCTCTTCTAGCTGCTGCCAGCACATCCTGGGGTGAGACTGGCCTGGCCTCACAGGAAACCTGGGCATCTGTCAAACCAGAGTGCTGGCCCCAAGCAGCTTAGCTGCTGCTCTCAACTCTCACTGCCCTCATCAGTGGAGCTCAAGGCACCAGGGGGCAGACAAGGCAGGGAGAAGGCTGCACAGCCTCCTACTGGAGCTATTTTGTGGGAAGGTTGGGAGCTTCCCAGCCATAGGTGGGCAAATCAGTCTGGGAGGTGGGGGCATCCTAACTTGTGGCCTTTGCCAGACGTTCATGGTATAAATGCTCCCCATATGGCCAATTTCAAGCTACTAATGTATGTATCACTGACAGGAAATGGCAATTAACACAACTCGAGAGACCCTATGCCACTAGGTTCCAGCCGCCACTAAGCCACCACACCCTGCGCTCTCCCTGGATGCCGAGACTCTACGCAGACCTTCTTAGCTTGTGCAGCCTGCTTGGGAGCTCATGATGTGAGGGCACAGGGACATTGCGGTCATCTGTGTTCTCACTGGCCCCATGAGCCCCATTTTACAGATGAGGAAGCTAAGTCCCAAAGAGATTAACAACCTCTCCCATTCTTACAGATACCAAGAGCATAAAAGGGTGAAATAGAGCGGAGGGAAATGCCCATAATAAACACAGAAGCAGGAAGATTTCTTGGGGCCTGCTGGCCCCTCTCTGCTTCCCTCCCTTCTGAGGCCTCCTAGAGTGACAGGAAGGTTGGAGGCCCAAGGGGAGGGGGCCAGGGGCGGAGCCAGGATCTGACAATTTCCTATCCCTCTCTGCTGACTCTAATTCTTGAGTCATTTGTTGCTAGCCAGGAGGGGAAATTAAATGTTAATAATGTAATATTTCCCTGTGATTATCCTTCTTTGGGGACAGGGCAGAGGGCAGAAGCTGTCCCATATAAACTAGAGACACATGTTGGGGAATGTGCATGATAAGCCTTGAAAGGACAGCTCCCAGGATTCCCAGGAGTCAGACTCAAAACTGCTGCTGCTTCTGGCCTTCCTTCTTATCCCCACCAACCTGGCCATTTTAATTAAAACTCCATTTAATCAAAACCCACATATTTCCTGGCCCACTTCTGGCTCCTTGTAAGTCAGACTAGTGAGGCTTTCTGTACACATGCCCAGATGGTGGCTGTACACCCCAGAACCTGCCTTCCAGGCAGGACCCTGCACCTCTGCTCCTGGGTGCTGCTAAGGGCAATAAACTAAGCCAAGTGTAGGGACTCAGACCTGGCATAACCATGCTTGGCCCATTCCTGGGCTCCAGAATCCTAACCTGTGTCTCTTCCACTACTTCCTCATAGCAAATGTTATACAAATGCCTACCCTGTGCCATGCAGCATCCCAACTGCTGGATCACAGGGAGCTCTGTGCCACGTGCTACTGAGCCTGGCCTTAGCAAGGTCCTGAGCCTACAGCAGGGGACCTGGAAGGAGGAACTGTCCCAGGAGAGTGTGCTGAGAGCCAGCTGCTGCCTTAGTGTGCAGGTCACTCCCTGTCTCCAGGGCCTCCATTCCCACTTAAGATGACCCTGTAAGCCACAATTTCAAAGCACAGGAGAAAAGCTCAAGCTAAGAAAGATAAAGCAGCAGCACCCTGAATATGGAGTTTCATTCATTCTGGAAGAGGTGAAGGTCATAATCTAATAATGTTTTTCAAAGACATTTAGGGTCTTCAAAGAGATGAAAAAAGGAATAGCACCC